ATCCTTCCTACCCAGGAGCAGGGGATGTCTGTCCATTTTCTGATATCATCTTCAATCTCTCTTTTCAGGGTGCTATAGTTTTCAGAGAAGAGGTGTTTGATTTCTATTGTTAGGTTGAAAAACAGATTTCTTAAAAATAGCAAGGGACCATGAGAAATCAATCCAACAGCTACTAGGTGATACAAAAAAGAATATCTTAAGATTGATTGAGGTTAATGAAGGAGAAGGAGATAGCACAAAGACATAAATAAACTTTTCACATAAGTAATCACAGAAAACTTCCCAAACAGGGAAAAAGTATTTCACATAAAGATAGGTCAGGCATATAGAGCTCCAATTAGCTGTGATTAAAAAAATCAACACCTAGGCATGTAATAGTCAATATTCCTGAAATACAACACAAGAAAAAAAATTAAAAGCAGTTAGAGGAAAGAAAAATATCACATACAAAGGGTAGCCTTTCAGAATCACAGCAGACTACTGAACACAAACACTCAAGTCAAGAAGAGGCTGGAGTGAAGTATTTCAAACCCTAAAACAAAACCTAACCCATATTGATGTATACTGCAAAACAATCAGAATGTATGGAGAAATAAGATATTTCCATGACAAAGAACACCAGAGGAACTTCATGAATACCAAACCAGCACTCCAAGATATTCTAAAGAAAGACAATGAGGATTACAATTCAATCAACCCCAATGAAATTAAATCGGGGGAGGGTGGGCAACAATAGGAAAGTATAACAAGGAAAAGTCAATACCTATCAGTTATAACCATCAGTGTTAATGATCTCAGTTCACCAATCAAAAGAAATAGATTAGCAGAATGGATCAAGAAGCAAGATCCAACAATATGATGCATACAAAAATCACTTAATTCAAAAATAAATTCATAGACTGAAAAATCTATGTGATAGGAATACAGAAAAAGGCAGGGGTAGCTATACTATTTGCAGAACAATGTGGATTTCTAGCCAAGACTAATTAAGAGGGACAAAGAAGGTAACTACATCTTTATAAAGGGAAAAATCCAAGAGGAAGAAATGACAGTCATAAATATATATGCACCAAATACAAGTACATCCAACTATATAAAACATATTAATGGACATGAAAAATCAAACAAGCAGTAATATAATTGTAGTGGGGGACCTCAATACCCACTGTCACAAATAGATCAACTAGACAAAAAAACAATCAATGAAATACTAGAACTGAACCAAACTTTTGAAGCAGTGGACTTAATAGATGTCTACAGAGTGTTCTACCTCATATTAGAATACACATTCTTCTCATCTGAACATGGGACATTCTCCAAAATAGACCATATACTAGCTCATAAAACATGCTTAAGCAAATGCAAAGGAATTGAAGTTATCCCCTGTATATTATCAGGCCACAGTGCAAAGAAATTGGAGATCAATAGCAAAAGAAACCACAAGAACTTCATAAACACATGGAAATTGAATAGCAATCTTCTGAACAATCAGTCACAGAGGAAATTAAAGAAGAAATTAGACAATATCTACAATTAAATGATGATGCCAATACAACATATTGGAATTTATGGGACACAATGAAAGCAATCCTATGAGGGAAATTCATACTATTGAATGCCTATATTAGGAAAACAGAGCAAACTCAAATAAACAGTATAACGCTGAACCTCAAGCTTCTAGAAAAAGAAGAGCAGGACAAAACCAAGGCTCTTAGAGAAGACCTAATACTACTACTTCTTAAACTCTTTAATGAAACTGAAAGGGAAGGAACACTTCCAAATTCATTTGTGGAGGCAAGCATCACCTTGATTCCAAAAGCAGAGAAGGACTCAACCAAAAAAGAGAACTACAGGACAATCTTCCTAATGAGCAAAGACACAAAAATCTTCAATAAGATACTGGCAAACAGAATGCAGATCATCAAGAAGATCATACACCCAAACCAAGTGAGATTGATCTGAGTGATGCAGGGATGGTTCAAAATATGCAAGTCAATAAATGTAATACACTATATTAACAGATCCAAGGACAAAAACCATATGATCATCTCAATGGATGGAGAAAAAGCATTTGACAAAGTACTACACCATTCATGATAAAAACCATGCAAAAAATTGGAATAGATGGTCTTCATCTCAACCTGATAAAAGCTATCTATGAAAAACCAACGGACAATATCATACTAAATGGGGAAAAGCAGAAATCTTTCACTTTAAAATCAGGAACATGCCTGCTTCGCAAACGCAAGGTCCCAAGTTCAATCCCCTGTACCAAAAAAAATAAAAATCAGGAATAAAACAAGGATGTCCACTATCACCACTCTTGAACAATATAATTCTGGGAACATTAGCCACAGCAATTTGACAAGTGAAAGAAATAAAAAAGGAATAAAGATAGGAAATGAAAAAGTTAAATTGTCATTATCTGCAGATGACATGATACTCTATATAGAAGACCCCAAAAACTACACCAACAGACTGCTAGACTTCATAACCAAATTCAGTAAAGTAGCTGGATACACATTCAACACTCAAGACAAAAAAAACCCCTTCCTGTATGTGAATAATAGACTCACTGAGATAGGAATTGGGAAAACAACTCCTTTCACAATGGCATTATAAAAATGAAATACCTTGGAATAAATCTAATGAAGGAAGTAAAAGACTTCTACTCTAAAAACTACAGCACTCTGAAAAAAAAAGAGATTGAAGAGGATATCAGAAAATGGAAAGACATCACTTGTTCATGGGTAGAAAGAACCAATATAGTGAAACTGGCATACTTCCAAAACTGTTATATAGATTCAATGCAATCCCAAGTGAAATTTCAACAGCATACTTCATGGAACTTGAGAAAACAATCCAAAAATTCATTTGGAACAAGAAGAGACCTAGCATACCAAAAGCTATTCTAGGCAACAAAGTCAAGGCAGGAGGTATCACAGTCTCAAGCTTGAAACTATATTACAAAGTTATTGTGAAAAAACCAGAATGATATTGGTAAAGGAACAGACCCAAAGATCAATGGAAAAGATTAAAAGATGCAGAAACAAATCCCAACATACTCAGCCACTTCCTGTTTAACAAAGGAGCCAAAAACTCTCACTGGAGGATTGATAGCCTCTTTAATAAGTGGTGCTTAAAAAACTGGATTTTAATCTTGCCAAAGATTAAAACTAGACCCATATCTCTCACCAGGCACTAAACTAAAATTAAAATGGATCAGAGATCTAAATATTAAAACTAAACCTTCTGAAAGAGAGGTTAGGTGGAGCTCTTAAAGACATTGGCATAGAGAAAGATTTTATGAACAAAACCTCAGTCACAGGAACTAGCACAAAGAATCAACAACCTGGATCTCATCTCATTAAAAAACTTCTGCACAGCAAGAGAAACCACCAACAGAGTGAAGACAGCTCACAATGTGGGAGAAATTTTTTACCAGCTGTTCCTCAGACAAAGGACTACTATCTAGAATATATAAAGAACTCAAAAAAGTCAGATCCCCCAAAATTTAAAGACCCAGTCCAAAAATCAGCATCTGCGATGAATATAGACATTTTCAGCTGCAGAAGTAGAAACAGCAAATGAACATATGAAAAAAAGCTCAACATCACTGGTCATTCGTGAGATTCAAAGGAAAACAATGGTGAGATTCCATCTTCAGAAAGAATGTCTGCCATCAAGAAAACTAATAACATGCTGGTGGGGCTGTGTGGAAAAAGGAACCATTCTACACTGTTGGTGGGAGTGTAGACTAGTACAACCACTGTGGAAATAAATGTAGATATTCCTCAAAAAATCTAAAATTAGAGGTGTCATTTGACCCACTATTCCCCTCTGTATCTTCCTAAAATAATTAAATGATTCCTGGTACTAGGGAAAAAAACCCAAAAGAATTGAAAGCATCATATCTCAGTGATATAGGTGCACCCATGTTTATAGCAGCACAGTTTGTAATAGCTAAATCTTGGTAACAGCCCACGTACCCATCAACCGGTGATTGGATAAAGAAGATGTGGGTTGTTTAAAATTAATTGGCTATAAAGAATGATAAACTTACAACATTTCTATATAAATGGATGCACCTTGAGATCATACTCTTAAGTGAAATAAATAGGACACACTTGTGTAAATATTGACTTGTTTCTCTGATGTGAGAAATTGAAAGTATAAATGAGAACCAAAATGTTTAATAGGTATTGTGAAATAGGAAGAAACTGTTCAAAAGGGAAAAGCAACTAGGGAGGGGGGTGGGAGAAAGGAAAGAAGGGAAAGAAAAAGTGAGAAAAGAAGGAAAAACCAGAAACAAAGCTTTTATCAATATGGAGGGGTGGAGGGGTTGAAGGGAAGAAAGGAGAATGGGAAAAAATAAGAACCAAAATATATCATGTACAGGTACAAATTCCCAATGATGAATGTGATCATAATGTATGCCTAAAATGTACCAACAAACTTAATAAAAAAAAGATATTTACTTTGCCCAATATGTTGCCCCTGCCCTGATAATATTTTTAAACTAGTTTATATGTCATTTAACAAACCATCCTTTTCCCGCCCTATTTCCCGGACCCAAATGCCTAAACAATATGTTGCAAAATGCTTTTCTTCCACTTCTTTGTTGTCATGTCCTTGAGTTAAATATAACCACAGAGGTCTCAGCTCTGGGCTGTTTCCCTGAGGCTCTCTTATGCACAAGAGGCAGCCCCTCTGAGTTCTCAGTGCTTAAACTAAATCCTGTCTCTAAGTAATCTTTCCTTCTCTACATAGCCATAGTCACACAATTCAAGCAAAGAACAACTGAAGAACTTCATGACCACCAAATTAATGCTCCAAAAATTTCTCAAAGACATCCTAAAAAGAGGCAATGAAGCCAAAAATGTCAATAAGTCTAAAGGAATTAATATGCCAGGCAGGGTAAATAGTTAAGGAGAAAGAAAAAGAAATAAGCCATAGGAAAATAATACAATAACAGGAGTCATGTGGAAAACACTGAATCATCCCGCTGCAGACAGGCAGGTCTGCAGACGCCGTCCCAAGGTCACCAGTCGAACAGAAAACATCAAATCGGCCCACTGCAGACAGCCACCTGATTCCACACTACAAAGACAAAGAGGACACCAGACCACCAGATGGCTATACTGAAGCTAATCAAGTTTTCAGCATTTAAAGAATTTCTGCCCACTGGTAGGGGCTTATGAGGCACCATCCCACTGGTCCTGGTACAGAGGAAGGGGCTTCCGGGCTGCCAAATGGCCCGCTGCTCCCGGCCCAGAGGAAGGGGCCTTCCGGCCATGATCTCTACTGCCATTCCCCGGTCCTGGCCAACTTCTCCAAGCTCAGAGGAGGTGAGCCACACAGGTGCCATAAGCAGGCCCCCCTGTGCCCCCAGTTGAAATGAGAAAACACATAAATAAGTCTCAAAACCAGACTTCCAGATCACCTAGAGCAACCCCAAAGGGAAATGAGATGGAATATTCTGATACTCAACCACCTGGACCCATTAAACTGACAACAAAAGGGGATCTAAAAAAATGAAATCAGAAATAATTTCTCAGATAACAGGAGAAATTGTGCCCCTAGTGCAAGACATGATTAATAAATCTAGAGAAGAGCTCAGGAACATGATGGAATCCCAATATAGGAAACAAATAGAATCCATAAAACAGATGCAAATAGATTTCCAGGAGATGAAAAACTCTGCTGAAAGTCTAC